AACTGAGCCACCCAGGCACCCTATTTAATAAAATCTTAAAAAAAAAAACCAAAACGGTAAGTGTATCTGATTTAGTATATATACTAATGTGGAAAGATCTCATAAACGTTCAATGTGAAAAGCTACAGACATCACAATTACGTTTAAAAGACGCAAACAAAGAACAAACAGTAAAATAGATGTGTGTGCTTCAAAACATATAAGTATATATAGAAAGATCACTGCACAAATGTGCGTCAAACTGCTAATCCTGATAACCTCATAGGTGGGGAGTAGTGATTTAAAGGGTGAACTCAGGGCACCTGGGTGCCTCAGTCGATTAAGCATCTGACTCTTGATTTTGGCTCAGGTCATAAGCCCAGGGTGGTGAGATTGAGCCCTGTCTTGGGCTCTATGCTCAGCGCAGAGTCTGCTTGAGATTTTCTCTCTCCCTCTCCCTCTGCCCTTCCCCCTCTCACTCTCACTCTTTCTCTCTAAAATAAATAAATAAAGGGCACCTGGGTGGCTCAGTCAGTTAAGCGACTGCCTTCAGCTCAGGTCATGATCCTGGAGTCCTGGGATCGAGTCCCACATCGGGCTCCTTGCTCAGCAGGGAGTCTGCTTCTCCCTCTGACCCTCTTCCCTCTTGTGCTCTCTATCTCTCATTCTCTCTCTCTCTCTCAAATAAATAAATAAAATATTTAAAAAAAAAATAAATAAATAAAATCTTTTTTTTAAAAAAAGAGTGAACTTAAGGGGCACCTGGGTGGCTCAGTCAGTGAAGCATCTGACTCTTGATTCAGGCTCAGGTCATGATCTCAGGGTTGTGAGACCAAGCCGCACGGTGGGCTCCACTTTGGGCACGGAGCCTGCTTGGAATTCTCTCTCTGCTCCTTCTCTCTCTCTCTCTCCCTCCCTCTCAAAAAAAAAAAAAAAGAGTGAACCTAAGAATTTTGTCCTGTAGGCATTTACATTGTTTGACACTCAAATGAGAGACAATATATTCATCATTACTTATGTAATTTTGTTTATAAAAAGAAGAGAATCGAAGCACTTTGCTCGTTGCTGCCCAGAGTGACAGGAACTCATGTGGGAAACATAAAGAAGTTTCAAGTGCAGATTTGAGTTTCTAGCTACGAAGTGACCTTCCAACTTCCTTTCTAATCAAGTTTGTTTTTTTTTTTCCCCCTGCCAACTAAAAATACACTACCCAGTTCAGGAGCCTCTGCTGACTGAATAGCAGCGGCTGCCAAGGCCCTACTTTGCATATTGAAAGAACCTTGGAGGATAAACAGCAGCAGCTCATGTCCGCCGCGGAGGCACGGTGGGAGCTCCTCACACTTCTGTCTTGGACTCCGCATCATCGTCCCCGCACATTTTCAGGAGACGGTCTCTGGCCACTGTTGGCTTTTCCCCCTTAGCGTCCGGAAACCTCCTGCAAATGCTGTAAGTAAGAGCGTTAGTCGGTAGTGGAAGCTTCGGTGCAGGGCTAACATCCTTCAGCTCTTTCTCGGCTCATTGTTTCAGAAAGCACATCACCCACTGCTAGTTCCTTTTCCTCTTGTGTTTTTTGGTTTGTTCTGTTTTGTTTTTGAGAGAGAAAGAAAGAGATACTATTTCTGTTTGGAGGGAGACAGGGCAAAGAGAGGCAGGCAAGGAAATCCGCACCCCCCACACCCGACTTTTCCAGGTTCCTCATTTGGTTATAAGGAGGTGGCGATAAAACAAAACAAAACAAAAAACCAAAACAAAACAAAAAAAGAGATGGTGTTACCAATAAAATGGAAACTAGAAATAGAAAAGTTCTGGAAAATGAGCTGTGCTGTAACTGTAAAACACTCACAAGGCACTCAAAGTGGTAATGATTCTAAATACAATTTATAATGCAAAATAAAGACAGTTTAAAGAGTCTGCAATATATTCTGTATGTAATTCTGATACACGATGTCCTAGTCTTCACATACAGGAATGATGCTGACCGCTCCCATTCATATGGCATGCAGATGCATTTCGAAGAGTTTTTTTAAAAAATCATGTGATCGGGGCGCCTGGGTGGCTCAGTCGGTTAAGCGTCTGCCTGTGGCTCAGGTCATGATCTCAGGGTCCTGGGATGGAGCCCCTGCGGCAGGCTCCTTGCTCAGCGGGGAGCCAGCTTCTCCCTCTCCCTCTGCTGCTCCTCCTGCTTGTGCTTGCTCTCTTTCTTCTCAAGCAAATGTATAAAATCTTTAAAAAAAATTAAAAGTCATGTGATAGACTGTACAAAGTTATGTTTATAGCTGCTCAATAAAAATTGTCCTATAAGATATTCGAGCTGAACTAAACTTTACAGTACCTAGTCCAACCTTTCTTCTCAAGTCAGTGGCTTCTTCAGCTCCTGTCCACCTCTCGCCATCCTCAGGGCTCACACAGAAGGAACCAGGAGCAGAGCGATAGCAACACTGCCCCCTTGGCTCCCAGGCCCCAGACACACATTATCCTTGGCCTCTGTGTCCTTAACCTCGGTCCATCCCAATCCTCCTGCAAATCAAATCCTGGCAGGATCCCCATGGATTCATCAGCTGGACAGGACTGAGTCTCAGCTTGATCTGATTGCCCTGCCCCACAGATTAGACGGACAAGCCCTCCTCCAGACAGTTCTTTAATGCTTGGAGACTGCTCTGGGGTAATGACAAAGATTCGTTGCTTGGCTAAACTTTAGTCAGGCTCCCGAACATTCTTCTAGGCTCATCTGTGCACTTCCTCGTAAAATCCCGTTTTAGCAAGAACCCTGCTATGTGTTAACCAGAATGCCCTGCCCTTAATATCTAATCACCTCAATATCTGATTGCATTCCTCAGCCCTACCTTCCCCCAGGTGACATCTGGTCACCTGGCTTGCCTTCAGCAAGAATCCTGTTAGAGGTCAGTTTAGCCAGAATCTCCCCTGACCCCTGATGTTCCCTCTCAGTACTTTTCCATCTGCTAACCCCCACCCTGCCGATCCTTGGCTGTAAGTCCCACTTGCCCAGGCTGGCTGAAAAATGACCCCGTAGAACTAAGCAACAGTAACAACACAACACAGTGGTGTGTGTACATAACACACTCTGTGTTTTCCTAACCACTCCCTCCTGTTAAAATACCCTGGCCTAAGAAAAGCATCGACATTTACAACAGGCTGTTTGCTCTCTATAAAGCACTTTCTAGGTGAGTAGCAGACTCGCGAAAAGAGGAAGAGATGAATAAATTCCAGCAAGATCTTGAGCAAATTATTTACTCTGAGCCTCTTTTTTTATTTGTAAAACAGGAGAGTCATAAACCCCCAACTCAGTTCTTGGCATTTTTTGTTTGTTTTATTTTTTTTAAAGATTTTATTTATTTATTTGACAGAGAGAGACACAGCGAGAGAGGGAACACAAGCAGGGGGAGTGGGAGAGGGAGAAGCAGGCTTCCCGCCGAGCGGGGAGCCCGAAGCGGGGCTCGATCCCAGGACCCCGGGATCATTATCTGAGTGGAAGGCAGATGCTTAACCGACTGAGCCACCCAGTCGCCCAGTTCTTGGCGTTTTAATAAAATGATGCATGGGAAAGCAAAAAGCACCCCACAAATGTGACTGGTTCCAAGAGCCAAATCACTGCAGCTGCAGATGCCAATTAGTGAGCTGCAGAGTCAACGGCTTCTGATTGGCCATAATTTTTTTAAAAATTACGTTTTCTGGAGGTATCATTGTTTGCTGGGAAAAACATGATGACATGGCCGAAAAAAAAAATTAAGCAGTAAGTTTAACTGCTCAGTTCCACCACAGTGACACAACTATTAAATTTTTACCGTTTACTTTCAACATAGTTACTATTTTTTAGAGGGTTTTAATCATACTTAGGCAGTTTTTAAAAGCCTGTAGGGTCCAAGCAAACAAAAGAATCTCCAGGCTCCAGAAAAAAAAACAAAAAACAAAAACCAACCCAAACCCAAAAAACCATCAAGTCATGTGTCTGATCTGCTAAGAAACGGGGCTGGTGCGAGGCGTCGCCAGGCTGGGGACATCTGCGCGTCCCGTCCGCCCCGGGAGCACAGCTCTGGCCCCGCCCACCTGGGGAAGGAAGCGGAAAAGGGGAACCGGCAGCAGCCCCTGCAGTTCCTTCTCTTCTCGCCCTTGGGACGCTACCGCCGCGCGGAAAGCAGTTGCGGGCGAGCCGACTGCCACAGAGGAGGAGCTTTCGGCCGCAGCCTAGTAACACCGAGGTAACTTTACTTGCCCTCTTCCCCCGCCCGCGTGAGGAATGAACGCCGCCTGTCTTACTTTCTTCCAGGGGCAGCCGCAATATCCCCGCCGCCCCACCCCGGGGGAGAGATGTCCCAGCCACGTGTACCCTAGGTCGGGAACAGGGCTTGGTTTTAGAAATTGGGCATTTCTAAATGAAAAAAAAAAAAAAAAAAAGGTGAGTCGTGCTCTGTAGGCAGTTTACCTTGATAAGGCAATGGAGGAAACCGCTTGGCTGTGACTTGTAAATGTGTCCCCAGGCCACCGTATCTGGAACAGCCACTGTTTGCAGGACGCAGTGCTGGTCCTGAGGGGAGCTCCAAAGGCAGCCGACTGCCCTCTTCACTTGGTGCACTGAACTGGAGCTAGCTTCCACTTTGGGATTTAGGCTTATAGGAAGAAAATAGAGGCGGGAAGCCACAGACTAGCCAGAACTGAAGACATCTTTTGGTCATTCCTACCGAACTGGGTTATATGTAATTGGAACTTCCTTTTACTACCAAGGAAGGTGAGCCTGCGTTGGCTGTCTTCCAGGAAGCCCTACCCTCTTCTCTGATGCAGCCCCCTTCCCAAGATAGATCCGCTTGGGGTGACTCATTTGCCCTTGCGTCCTGGCCCTTTCAGAGCCCAGGCCTGTGTTTGAAACCTGACATTGTAAAAGACACTTCCTGCTTTGGGAGGAGAGGCTCTTCTTCCGTGTGCCTGCGTGGATTTGTGTTCCTCCCGAAAAGAATGGCTGATGTGTGCACCTGGCCTTTCTCCCCTAGGGGTTAGCAGTGGCCACCATGGGTTCTGTGAATTCCCGAGGTCACAAGGCAGAAGCCCAGGTGGTGATGATAGGCCTCGACTCAGCTGGCAAGACCACGCTCCTGTACAAACTGAAGGGCTACCAGCTGGTGGAGACCCTGCCCACTGTTGGTTTTAACGTGGAGCCGCTCAGAGTCCCCGGGCATGTGTCTCTGACCATCTGGGATGTGGGGGGGCAGACCCAGCTGAGGGCCAACTGGAAGGACTACCTGGAAGGCACGGATGTCCTCGTGTATGTGCTGGATAGCACAGACGAAGTTCGCTTGCCCGAGGCGGTGGCTGAGCTCGTGGAAGTCCTGAATGATCCACACATGGCCAGCGTCCCTTTCTTGGTCCTGGCCAACAAGCAGGAGGCGCCCGATGCTCTGCCGCTGCTTGGGATCAGAGACCGGCTGGGCCTGGAGAGATTCCAGGACCGCAGCTGGGAGCTCCGGGCCTGCAGTGCCCTCACCGGTGCTGGGCTGCCCGAGGCCCTGCAGAGCTTGAGAAGGCTCCTGAAATCCGGCTGCCACTGTGTCTCCCCGTGAGCGCAGGTGCGGCGGGGGAGTGGGGAGAGCAAGAAGACTGGACCCGGGCAGAGCAGCGTGCCTTTGCCCATACGAACTGAAAGAAGCCGCTAGTCCTTGAGAATCTGAAACTCAGTTTGTCAAACAAGACGTCCTTCTGTGCTTGGACAGGATATTTTCTTCTTGGGGCTTATTGTCACTAGGGTTTATGCTGAAAACCAACTATTCTTTGAATAATAATACTCTAAGGGGAAAAAAATGCCTCAACACACTTCCTTTAATAACATTACCAAGGGTGAACTGAGCAATTGTAATAATAGAACAATGAATGGTTGCATTACAATTAAGACCTAAATTTACAGAGGGAAAGAGGTTTCAAAATCAGATTAGAATATCATCTGGACATGGTCACGATCTTAGGAGTGATTTTTCCCTGGTGCCCCTGGGTATGTGCCATGATCACTGTGAGTGCAAGCTGCCAGGGCTAGCAGATTGGAGTAGGTGACTCTGCCCCCACGGAACCTTGGGTTTAGAAGTTAGCTGGGGCATTTGGCCCTGGGCAAGAGGCTGGGAGTTAAAGCCTTCCAAAATTTATCCTTTTCTCTGACCCTGATGAACTCTTCTCCACCTTTTATCATCTTGTATTGGTCTTTCTCTAAAACGCTTCATTTTTATCTTTTTTTCTTTCTCTTTTCTCCATACAGCACATATCTTTCCTTAAAGGTCAGATTAATGAAAGATTTCATTCATTTATTCATTCATTTAATCAACAAATATGTAGAGCATTGAATTTGGGCAAACAGCACTGAGTTTTTAGTTATGAGCCAGGCTCTTGAGAGGGGAGGGTGGATTTTGAAGATACATGTAACAAAAATGCTTCTTTCTCATTATTAACAGTAAAAAAGAAAGTTGAACATAGCATCCTACAAGGGTTTTCAGGTGATCTTTACCTAGGAACCATTAAGCTCCTGAAATTATTTGCAAAATGTTATGCTTTGAGCCTTTTTTTTGGGGGGGGGGCGGGGGAAGAAGATCCATAACTGATCCATCAGACTTTCAAAGGCTTTTGTGACTCCCAGACGTTAAGAATCACTGATCTGGTCTTATCTATCATCCAACGGAGGAATACTTTTTATAGTCTGAGCTTTTTAATGGCAAGCAGCTCATATCTGACACCTGGATCTCATGTTAAACAGCTCTACATGTTGGCTATTCCTACTCTGGGCTAAAACCTTCCTCCTTATGGATGGTGGTTCTCCCCTCTCTGGAGTGACACAGTATAAATGGGCCCTCAACACTCTTCCAACATCTGAGATCCACTAGGTCCCTCTACCCAGATTCTTCCTTCTCACATCAGGTTAGGCACGCTAAGTTCTTTCCACTACTTGTCAGTAGATAGGTTTTCCTGTGTCAGGCACAGGAAAGTACAAAGATGCAAAGACAAATTGGACAAGGCCTCAGGCCTCATGGAGCTCTGCTTGGGGAAGGAGTAGGACAAAACTCCCATAAAAAAAGCAGATGGAGGCTCAATTCAGCAACTGTTTATTGAGCACTTACTGGGGTCAAGTTCTGTGCTCGGTGCTTTCCATAGTTATCTCTAATTCTCTCAATTCTGCAAAGTAGGTATCATCCTCATGTTGCATAATTAGAAACTGAGGCTGGGGGAGGTTCTGACTTGCTTGAGGCACAGAACTATTAAGTGACATATCTGGAATTTGAAACCTGGTAGGTCTAGCCCAAATGATGCCTGTATTCTAACACAACATCATGTTTCTAGAAGGTTTAAGCCAAGGTTGAGCTTCAGTCAGCTGATGTGATGAAGGAAGCAATCGAGTCAGATGAAGAAGACTGCTTGGAAGTATGAGGGGGAGTGAAGGAAGGACAAGTAAGCTGTCGTGGGGTGCGGAGTGGATGCGGGGGATGTATTATAATAGGAAACAAAACTGGAAAGAACTTTTAAGTCCAAGCTGGGGAAGATTTGGACTTTCGTAATCTGGATTTGGCTCAGGGAAGTGAAACCAGTGGATTTACCATTCAGGAGGATAATATAGTGGCTGTGTAGGGTGGAATAAAAAGAAGGGGGACACTGGAGTCAGGCAGGCAGGGAGACCAGCTAGCTGCCCTTCGCAGTAACAGAGGAGAGGGGAGGAAGAAAGAGGAGAAATTGAAAGCCATTTTTGAGGGAAAAAGCTGAGAGAAGAACAAGTTGAAGGTGGTGTTAAGATTTTGAGTGTATGTGACAGGAGGGATTGGAATGACCTGAGAAGGTGGACGCAGGAGGAACGAGTTGGGACGGGGCCGGAACTGGTGGGTTCTGGTCTTGAAGTGCTGGGTGTGGACGTGTTGATAGCTTCTTTCAGATTGTTCTATTACCTGCAGTCCCCAAAATACCGAGTACCCTGCTGGATGCATCAGCTGGTTCCCACACACAGAGGCTCCTTTCCCTCCTGATGTGTCAGTTTTTATCAGGAGCTCATCTTTGGTACGATTTGTTTTTCCTGTGTGACCCCCATGTGCCCTGTGTTGTGGCAATGTTTCTACACGGAGTGGATTCACGTTAGTGTTGACTAGGCTCCTGGAGGTTTCAACTGTTTTAGATCAAACATTATGTTAATTTCTCTGCTTGGGGCTCATGGCCTCACAGGTGGCATCGATGTGGGTTCTGTGCCCATTCATGGCACAGGCCCTAGGGATTCAATTTCTGACACGTGACTTTTTTTTTTTTTGCACCCATGTCCCAAAAAGACCATTTACTTCTTCATACTTTCCTGAGCTAGTGAATACCATTTCCCAATCCCCTTTTTAGGGAAGGGGCATCTCTTTGATGCTCTTGCTTTTCTCTTGAGCTCAAATCAAAATTTTCTCTCTTCCAAGCAAGCCTAAGGCCATACGTCCTGTTCCCATACAGGTGTTATAACCTTAGCCCGGTCCCTAGAGCCTAACCTTGGCTTCTCTAGTATCTCTGTGGGCTCCAGGCTCCCAGCTTACACTTACCTCCTTTGACTGTGGTTTTGCTCTTCATTTCTGTCACTTGATATCCTTTCTTTTGTTCAAGGACAGCGTGTATTAAAATGCAATTTTTTGGTGATAGTTTACCCAACATTTCCATCCCTCTGTAATAGGCAAGGGTCCATCTGCTATGGACTGCCTTTCTGAATGTCCTGAACTGTTTTGATATGTGGCAGGGAGATCTATACTTAGGAAGATGGCTTGGGTAGCTGACTTGGGGTGGAGAGAGGGTCCTAAAGCAGGGAGGCACGGTAGAAGGTGACCGGGATGTCTTTTGACTGACATGCACGCTCTTGCCACCCCTGGGGCAAACACACATCCTGTCACTGCAGAAGCCATCATGCTGTGGGCATCTGTTTCCTTTCTCTTGACAATTGTCCGTCTCTTTTCTTTTCTTTTTTTTTTTTTAGATTTTATTTATTTATTTATTTGAGAGAGAGAGAGAAACAGTATGAGAGGGGAGAAGGTCAGAGGGAGAAGCAGGCTCCCCGGCTGAGCCGGGAGCCTGATGTGGGACCCGATCTCAGGACTCCGGGATCACGACCTGAGCCGAAGACAGTCACTTAACCAACTGAGCCACCCAGGCGCCCATGTCCGTCTCTTTTCTAACATCAGGATGCACCAAGATCTTGTCCAGCTCTGAGAGCGTGCTCCTTGCTTGGACCAAACAGAGTGAACAGGGGGACCAGCAGGTAGTGTGTGACGACAGCCCCAAATCCTTGAAGGCAGATGTGCTCTTAACAAGCCCCAGGAGCTCTCCTCTCATCATCCCCCCCTTGGATAAGATTTGGGAAGAAGGATAACAAAACAAAATATCCTAAGAACCATGCCCATTAGTGCTCAGTTGGTGTTGACCAGAACTCCCTGCTGGTCCCTGCTTGAAGGGATTGAATGCCAAATCAGTCACAGAATCACCCAGCAGGTGAGTTCTGGAATGGGAACTATACAACTCTCTGGACAGAAGGTGGGGTTTGAGAGCCTCAGAGTCCAAGGGCAGCCTGCCAGTCTTCTACCTCCCCAGCTTCTGAGACGTTTGCCTCGTGTGAGTATGGGAATGCCACGCCATGCAACGCCCCCCAGCACCTTCCTGGGATTTCCCATGCCCCTCTGTGCATGTGCTCTGGCTCTTCAAGCTTCCGTGTCAGCAGGCAGTCCTGTAGTTACATGAGTGATGCTAGCTGTGGCAGCAGGCCTCTGGGGTCACACAATCTTAGGGAAGCCTCCTGAACCCCAAGTGTCTTTTAGGCTTAGGATGTTTTCCTGTTTGAATCTTGCCCACGATTTTAAGGCTTTCAGATCCCACCTTGCAGGAAGCTCTGCCCGTATGCCTCAGCCCATGCTCATCCCCTTCCTGAACTCTCCTGGTGCTGGCCCACTTGTTAGTGCCTGAATTGGGGCTGTTCTACACCTGGGCACATAGTCTCTCCAAGGATAGTCTAAGTTCCTAGGAGATCAGGGGATGCCTTACACCCTTTGATCCTCTTCAAAGTCTATAACGATATTAGGTACTGAGAGCTGCTCATTAAATACCTAGGTGAATAATGAATAACTGCTTAAAGCTATTGAACTGGGTGTCATGGCGGGGAATCCCCAGGTCCTCTGAACTGTCCAGAGTGAAATCCCCAAATGAGAACTCCAAGAGGCTCATTAGCTCGAGAGCCAAAATGGCAGCACGAACCTGTACTTCAGGCGTCCTCTGTAGTAAAGACAACAGCAAAAAGTCATACATGCTCTTTCCGGAACATGTCATGCTCAGAACCACCTGACTTGTAGTCTGAGTAGGAGAGTGAATGCTAAGTGGGGACCTAGTGAGGTATGGCAGGGGGCCGCCGGGGAGGCCAAGGCCCTGGAGGTAGGTGGCCAGTGAGAGCACGCGCAGGGCCCAGAGCCAGCGCCCGGGAGGAGGGCCAGGTTGCTCTCCCGCCCAGGCAGGGGCCCCGCCTTGCCCACTCCAGGGCTCCCATCCTTCCTTCTGCTCCCCCCCTAACACTGGTGGTGCTGGAGGGAGGAGGCTAAGACTCCATCCTTTCTCAGAGCCTTCCCTGAAGACCACGGGGAAGCTAGCCTTGCCTGTCTGCAAGCAAAATGACAATAGGTCCAGGCTAGGCCTTGCAAGTGGGAATCACCCTCCCTTTGCTGCTGGCAACTGAAGGGTAGGGCAGTCAGTAGTCAGTAGGGTAACCTCAGCCCTTGCTTCCCCACCTGAGGCAGGCCAGGGCCCTCCAAGGCCATGGAAGCGGGAGGTAGGGGGGGCAGATGGAAGGGTTTCCCTCCTGCTCTTCTGCTCAGAGAGATACATACTCATATTCACACACATATACACATTACAGAGCTACAAACAGGAAACCTTAGGAAAAAACAAATCATGCTTTCTGGTTTGTTTTTTAAATGGTGCTTTCCTTACCTGAGAGGTACTTTGCCTGTTCCAATTGCCCACACCTTTCAGATCCATCAAGCTCCCATTAATCCCCGAGAGTGAGTGAAGGAGCAGCAATGTGCACCAGTGGACGTGGCTATAAATGCAGGACAGCAGGTGTCTGTTTTCTTCTTAAATTAAAATGCCTCTGTTCTTTTTTACTGCGAACACTGTACAGTGAGAACTGTTCCAGTTTGGAGAGCTGATTACCCATCTGAATATGAGGCTGAGTTTCTCCCTTTCTGACTCAACGGATTTTAAAGATTTTTCTCCTTCCTCTCTTGGTCAGAATCAATCCTCTGGTGAAAGTGAACCACAGGGGTTGGTTTTGATTTGGTTCTGCTGTGGTTTTCAGTTGTCTGTCCTCCCCGGTCTACACACGCACCTCCTCCTGCGGGGCTGGGATAGTTGTGTCCCTCCAAGTGGACCAGGCGCCCATGCCCCACACGTGGGTGAGCCAGGACCTTGCCTTGCCTTCTTGTCCTCAAGGATTTAGAGCACACATCAACACCTCAAGTATTCCCAACCCAGCCTCGGGTGGGGTGGTGAGGTCCCCTCACAGAAGACTTGCACTTTCCTCAGAACCAAGATGATGCAACTCAGTGGGGTGAGTGGAGAATGGGCAGGGGGAGGAGGGAAGGTGGGGCGGAGCCCTCCCTTCCAGAAGCCCCAGGCCCGGCCTTCAGACAGATGGAAGTCAAATAGGAATGAGGAGTTGTTTAGTCTGTGCCTCTTTCTGCAGAGCCTGGGATGAGATGGGAGAGTCCCTGGGTGAACAGGAGGTGGAGAGGCCAACCTTTGCTGCCACCTCTTGGCCTGTAAGGACAAATACAAATTCAAAATAGGAGAGTTAATTGTCCCTGTTGAAAAGAAGAGACTTCTCCCTGCATCCCTTTTCTTAGAGCATTAACTTTAGACAACTTGTAAGTTCTCTCCTCTGTCTCTTTGAAATGTATGTAAATCCTTTAAAAAGCTAAATAAAGCTGTTGCCAGCTTTAGGACTCAGGAATGTCTTTCTCAAGGACCTGGGACCAATCCCTTTGAAATGTCAATATCCAGGGAGATAGGGCCTGCCTCCCAGTCTCTGTGGAAGGGCAGGAGCCTAACTTGGCAAAGCACCTCACTCCACGTCGCAAAACTACTTCCTGTCATAAAGGACAGGAGAAGCCAATTAGCTAACAGATGGTGACCCCAATTACCAGGTAAATCTAGGATGAACCTTGTGTGACAAATGGTGCTGTCACGCCCTCTGACTTGAGGACTGGTTATTATGTAGGTAATGGGTTGTGTCTGCCTGGCTGTATCAGAGGGTGAGATTCCTTTCTGTCTTTGCAATCTCTAGCTGATTGCCCGTGACACACATCACATTCTGGCTGAAAGCTTATTCAGTAAGAAAACTGTCTTCCTTCTCTACTACCTTTGTGGAGAGGTTGGCAGATTGGTTTTTAATTCTAGTTCCCCAACAGCTCCCATTGGTTTGGCTCTGTGAGCTTCTAGTTGAACCCATGATTAGCAAAATAATATTGGTGAGGGCTAATAACTGGAATGCATCCTAGAAGTTTTCTGAAGGACTCCTAATTAGGAATGATGAACATGAGTTCAGTATGACCCAAGGCATTCTCTTCTGACACGATTAATGGAAACCTGTGACTGCCTCCAACTTACCGAGAGACGTGTTTCTTGGTGTGGTGAAGCATGACCCCTGTAACCCTTTCCCATAGGGCTCGTAAAAGCAGCAGCTCAGGAAAAACAAAACAATTTTAGAAAGGGGAAAAAAAAGGAGTCTTTTGTTTTTACCTCATTGTCTTGATTTCCACTCCTCTGACAACATTCACCCCCAAGGAGATCTGGCTCTACAGCCACAGAGCATAAATACTTAAAAAATTTCCATGAGAAAATGGCCTTGTTCTGCCTCAGATTTCAAGGTAAGACCTAATAATGAATCCTTCTCCCTCCCCTGACCCCCTCCTCCCCACCAGCAACTTGGAACCTGGAAATATCCATGTGGATATTTTTGCAGCCTACTTTCAAGCATGAAATCACAAACCTAAACAAATTAGTTCTCACAAAAGCATTTCCATTTCTTCAAATAAAAGGAAGCATCATGATTATAAACTATCTCCAGATTATGAACATGATACCATTATCATTTTGCCATTTTTTTAAATCATTTTGCCATTTTTATTTACCTTTTTGAATTCCACAAACTTCAATTTCATATGGCATGAAATGTTGGCTTAACCTGGAGGGAAAATATAACGGATATAAATAAATGTATACAAAGATTTTGGGGGTTATGAAAATTCTCCCATGAGAGAATCACTATCAGGACGGAGATGCAGCCCCACCCTTTGCTCAAATTGGTGCTGTCTAAATGCAGTTAGGTGCTCTGGTTTGGAGCCTGGCCTTAAAGTTGGTCAGAACTGACCAGAACACCAGCTCTGTGCCTCACCAGCTGGGGAACCTGGGCACATTATTTAACCTACCTAAGCTCCAGCTGCCTCATCTACAGAATGGGAATGATAATAGGGAGTACCTCACAAAGTTCTTGTGAGAATTCAGTGAGGTAATGTGTCCCTCCTAATGACCCCCTCCAGGTAGTATATTCATCATATTCTAGCCCGAACTCACTGGAATGCTGCAGGTAGAGCCTGGGGAGTGAATGTCCAGGCTTCTCAGGTCTGAAACCAGCTCTTAATGTTGATCTAGAAAATTAGAATTCAGTGAGGTAATGTGTCCATCTAGTCAACTTGTATTTCTTGAGCACAGACTATGTGCCAAACACTGAGCTATGTACCAGAATGACAGGATGAAGGAGACACATGGTCCCTGCCCTCCAGCACACAGTCTAGCTTTTGATATGGGACAACGGTGAGATCATGCTACCGTGCGTTAAAAATGCATATGAAACACACGAGTTCTAGGGGCCCAGGCTTTCTTTGCAGCTTTAGAATTTTCCAGACCCAGACTTGTTCTGCAGTGAAGAGGGTGTTATAGCTGGTGAAAGGGTAGAGGGGGCGGGAGTGAAGTCACAAGACAGCTCTTACGAATTCTGAAACTCTGGACACTTAGCCTCCATCCGCCTTCCTACCATTTCTACTGACAGCTCTATTTTAGTGCTTCTCCTCTGCCCTTTCCTAGCCCAAAGCATTTCAATAAAAGTACTGTAAGCCTAGAATTAATATCTCTTCCATGCACTTTATTTTTTTATTATTATTTGAGTATAGTTGACCCAAAATTTTACATTCGTTTCAGGTGTACAACATAGTGATTGGACAAGTTTATACACTATGCTTTCTTCACCACATTTAAATGCACCCCCCTCTTACAAAGTAGGTTGAATGGCTAGGAGTGATTTCAGAAGACTGGAAATTGAAGCCGACACTAAATTCCACTCCTCTTTGAAATTCTACATTTACAGGTTCATTCCTTGGACTTCAGTTTTTAAAAGAAAATATCCCTAGAAGAAGGGCAGCAAGGATGGTTTAGTTATTTGCACTTTAATGTGAATGAATTCTTAATATCTTTTCAGGAGAGGTTTTGTTAAGAACGCAAAGCTAAAAGTTGAGAACAGCTGAAAAAGGGAAGGAGTACCACCAGAAACGTAAGAGCTGGAAATCCACAACTTTGCTCAAGGCCGTATGAATGTGGGCCCCCTATCTCTCATTATCCACACAGCAGGGACCTACTATGTGCAGAAATAAGGCCCAAGAGGGAAGGTCTGGGTATGTGGGACTGCCACCTTCTCAGGCACTTGGAAAACAGTGGCCTCGAGCCAGGGAGTGGAGAGCTAAGTAACTGGCCAGCCAGGGAGCACCTCTCTGGAATGGGGAGTGAGTAGGGAATGAATAATCTGGTCTCTCCTTCCTCCCATCCCCCATTATCTCCATCAGAGGTTGGCCTCCCAGGGCACAGAGCAGGGTAGACAAGGGTGGGGAATGGCAAATGGAAAACAAGCAGCCCAGGCTCTTTTATTTCTGCTCAGTAGAGAGTGCTAACGTACAAGGGGCAACTAGCCAGAAGGTAGCATCAGTCTTTAACTGGAAAAGCCACTTTTCCCTCAGTTGTATCCTGTACTTGGAGTGGGGCTTCTCCAGGTGCAGAAGGACAACATCATGACCCAGGCAGAAGAAGTGAAGATCACAGAATTCCACGGGCCTAATCCTACCTGGGGAGGGAATGCATTCCTTTAAATTAGCATTCCAAACTCTTCAAGTAAGTCATTTGCAAAGGTACCCCCTTCTACCACTTTGAGGGTAAGATTAAGTTCTCTAGGGATCAGATGATCCCTAGGAATCAAGAGCTCTGTGCTGCGGGGGTGAGAAGCCTGCTGGTTGTTTTGTTCTGACACAGCTGTGGGTCACAAGGTTCTTACACAAGCTTGGGGGTGGCCCGCCAGGCCACGAGCGCTTCCTTCCCCTCAGCTAGTGATGATGACTCCGATTTCAGAAAGGAGCTCAACCAGCATGTTCATCTTGGGGCACTTCTCAGCCATTTTCTAGATCAACATTAAGAGCTGGTTTCAGACCTGAGAAGCCTGGACATTCACTCCCCAGGCTCTACCTACAGCATTCCAGTGAGTTCAGGCTAGAATATGATGAATAATATACTACCTGAAGGGGGTCATTAGGAGGGACAGAGAAAGAAAGTTGTGGAGACTTGTGGTTTAAGGTTGGGAAATGCAACATACATGTAACTCAACTATCTGCCCAAACCTTACTAGCGGGACAGCAAAGAAATTTAAAAAAAAAAAAAAAAAGGCCAAACCCCACATGGACAAAGAAAGCAGAAGAGAGAGTAGCAGGCTTGAGATAGCAATAAAATTATGGAAGATGGAAAGTAATCTCATAGGCCAAATAAAGTGGAAACCTAAGTTGGCTGGGGGTTGGGTGTGTGTGTGTGTGTGTGTGTGTGTGTGTGTGTGTGTGTGTGTGTGTGTAGCTTAGAGGACATCCTCTGTACCAGGTACTGGTCTAAGTGTTGAAGGTACATTGACTCATATAATACCCCAACAATGCTAGAATTTGTACTCTGATTTTGGGGATGAAGTACAGAGAAGTTAAATAACTTGTCCCAGGTCACACAGCAGAATCTGTAGAAATGTGGCCCAGAGACCATGCTCTGTAGCCTCACAGTGATAAGCAAGTCCTTCTGCACCAAACCCTGGGAGATCTCCAGACTTTGGAAGCTTCAAAATGGAGATGAAAATAGAATTGGTGGGAAGCCTGTATGAAGAGACAGACCCTCAGACTCCTTCACTATCGTACTCAGGCCAGGCAACTGCCCCGGTGCTCCCTGGTAGGATACCATTGGTTTATTCTCTGGAGGCATTACCCAGTTGAGGATGCGACAGCTATGAAAACAGGAGAATTCAGTGAAAGTTTGTGAACTGACTGGTGAGGCTCTGCAGACCCCCTCCCCATTCACCCCGTGTGCTGGCAGTGAGGTTTACACTCCCCAGGCAGGGACTGGGGGCTCCTCTGTAGGAGTTCTGACCAGTTGGAGAGAAGATGTCAACGCTGACATCTGCAGGTCCTCTCATGAAACAGTTGGCTCACTGATTGATGAGCCCTGCCCACAGACCCAGGGCTCATACAAGCTTTTAGCAGCTTTTTGGTATCTTCCTCTTTTTTCCACCTACATTTTTATCATGGAAAAAGTAAACATATAGAAACATTGGAAATATAGTATAATGAACACCCATCTACCTTTTAAGATGTACAATAATTAGCATCCTAACATATTTGCTTTATCTTTAGATAAATATATGTCCATATATTGTTTCTCTGAACCATTTGAAAATGAGCTGCGGACATTGTGATATTTCACCCCTACATATTTCAGTAGAAGGTCATTATCATACATAATCGAAATCTATACATAATCCATGATTGCACCTAAGAAAATTGTAAATAATTCTCTAATACAGTCTAATATTCAATCCATATTGAGATTTCCCTCATTGTCCCCAGAATGCCATTGCATTTGGTTATTATGGGTCTTTATTCTCCTTCCTAGAACAGTCCTCTTTTGTTTGTCCCCCTCCCCTTTTGGAAGAGACCAGGTCACTTAACTGAAGGAAGGTCTCACAACTGATTTGCCTGATTGTTTCCTTGTGGTATCATTTAACTTGTCCTTGTATCTTTGGTAAATCCTGTCAACTGGAAGTTAGATCTAAAGGCACGGATCGATTCAGATCAGATGTTTTTGGCAAGTCATATGGGTTTTCTAGTTCATATCGCATCATATCAGGAGATAACATCTGCTGTCTCACTGGTGGTGAAGTGAAGTTTGGTAAAGGCAGTGACCGCTAGATCTCTCCACTGTAAAGATCTGCTTTCCCCTTTGCAGGGACCATGGATGATGTCTGGCACAGTGTCCATATCCTGTGCAACGCATTACTCCAATGTAAACAGACAATAAAGGATAACGGGACATCTGAGAAGGAGCCTCCAACATGAAAGAGAGACAAAAATAAACAAACAAAAAGTTAACTCAGAAGAGATCAGTGCAGGAAACAAAAGAAAACTTCCCCCAAACAATCAATACCCTTAGAAATAAGAGAAGATATCACACCCATAAGGCAAGAGTGCTATAAAAAATATTTAGAAAATAAGAAAGAGCTCTTGGAAATCTACACTGAAAATCGAACACAAAGTTGGAAGATGAAGTAGAAACAAAAATCTCCTGGGGCACCTGGGTGGTTGAGTGGGTTAAGTGTCTGACTCTTGGTTTTGGCTCAGGTCGTGACATCAGGGTCGTGAAATCAAGCCCTGCATCAGGCTCTGTGCTGAGTGTGGAGCCTGCTTAAGATTCTCTCTGGACACCTGGGTGGCTCAGTCAGTTAAGTGGCTGCCTTTGGCTCAGGTCATGATCCCAGGGTCCTGGGACTGAGTCCCGCATTGGGCTCCTTGCTCAGTGGGGAGCTTGCTTCTCCCTCTCCCTCTGCCTGCTGCTCCCCCGCTTGTGCTCTCTCTCTGTGACAAATAAATAAAATCTTAAAAAAAAAATTCTCTCTCTCCTTCTCCCTCTGCCTCTTCCCATTCCCTTGCACATGCTCTCACTCTCTCTAAAAAATAAAAAATAAAATAAATAAATAAAAAAGTGAAGGGGGATAGGGGCACCTGGGTGGCTCAGTCGTTAAGTGTCTGCCTTCGGCTCAGGTCATGGTCCCAGGGTCCTGGGATCGAGCCCCACATCGGGCTCCCTGCTCAGCAGAGAGCCTGCCTCTCCGTCTCCCACTCCCCCTGC